TTTCACTGTTGGGGTGTTTAAAATTTTTTTTATCTTCTTTGGTAATTCATATATATCTAGAAATCTGTCCATTTCTTCTGTGTTTTCCAATTTATTAGAGTACAGATTCTTGAAATAGATACTGATGATCCTCTAGATTTCTGGTGGATCTATTGTGACTTCACCTTTTTCATTCCTAATTACATGGATTTGAACCTTTTCTTTCCTTTTTTTGATAAGGTTGGCTAAGGGTTTATCAATTTTATTATTTCAAAAAACCAACTCTTCGATTTGTTCATTTTTTTGTATCATTCTCTTAGTCTCCATTGCTCTGATCTTTGTAATTTCCTCCCTTGTATGAGCTTTGGGTTTGTCTTGCTCTTCTTTTTCTAGGAGCTTAAGATTTAAGTTTTCGGCATTAGGTTGTTATTTTTGAGCTTGCTCTGTTTTCCTAGTGTGGGCATTCACTGCTATGAATTTCCCTTGTAGAACTGCTTTCACTGTGTTCCATAGATTCCTGTATGTTGTACTGGCATTATCATTTATTTGTAGAAACTAATTACTTCTTTAATTTGTTGTGACCCATCAATTGTTCAGGAGAGTGTTGTTCAATTTCCATGTATTTGCGCAGCTCTTAACGGTTTCTTATACTATTCTCCAGTTTAATTGCACTATGTTCTGATAATATACATGGGATAACTTCAATTCCTTGGTGTTTACTTAAACACGTTCTATGAGCTAGTATGGGGTTTATTTTGGAGAATGACCTGTATGCTGATATCTCCTATCAGCCATGAAATGTGAAGTCTCAACCAAATGATCTTGAGCCCCTTAGAGAACAGATAAGATCATCCGTATATTGTACAACAGCCTCACATGTTAAGGTTAAATCAGTTAAGTCCCTAGTCAAAGCTTGTCCAAAAATATGGGGACTGTTCCTGCATTCTTGAGGAAGGACAGTCCAGGTAAGCTAACTCAACTCCATCAATCTACTCAAGGCAAAAAGGAATTGTGACTCAAGGATCATGAAGATGCAAAAGAAAGCATCTTTAAGATCTAGGACTGAAAACCATTTAGTATTTGAAGGAGTTTGATTCAGCAGAGTATAGGGGTTAGGAAACCCTGGATGTATAGGAGTAATTGACTTACTTACAGCACAAGGATCTTATACTTAAGTGTAATCACCACTAGGCTTCTTGATGGCAGAAACTGGGGAATTACAAGGTGTCTGAGAAAGTACTAAAAGTCCATAGTGAAGGAATTTATTTATAAGGTTGTAGTCCTATTAGATTTCAGGTTGAAGAAAATATTGTTTACAGTGTGGGAAGGCATGAGGACCTTTTAGCTTAAGTACTACCAGGATAGCAGTTCTAGCTTTCCTAGGCATGTTGGTGGCCCATAGATGGGGTTAATAGGATGGTGAGTAAAGATAAGAATTATTAACAGCATTGCCGGGACAGCCAATCATTGCCATAACTGTGGGGGTGCTAGGTGTGGGCCAAAGATAATTTGAGCCTCCATCTTAGTTAACATGCCTTGGCCAAGTAGAGGGACTGGACATTCAGGCATCACTAAGAAGGCATGGATAAAAGAGAAAATTATTCATAATTTATTCCAGAAGAGGAATAAAATATTTGGTTACCAGAGGCTCACTGATGCCTGTAACAAGACAAAAGTCAGAAGCTAACTGTGAGCAATAGAGGTAAGAATAGAAAGTGAGGCCCCCTATCTTACCTGTGACATCCAATGTTACCTGAGGCTCCATCCTGCTGATGATAATGACTGGACTGGATGCTAATTGGATCTTTGGGGCAGTAGGCCTACCAGTGCCCTGTTTGCTACATTCGGGGCAAGATGACTTTGGCAGACATTCCACATTAGGGCAATTTCTCTTCCAGGGGTTCGTCTGCCACCAGGATAACACATATTATCTTGATTTTTTTTCAGGGAAGAAGCCAGCAGGTAACATTTAGTTACCATGTGATTCAATGAGAAGCTCTGCATGCTTTTCTCCTATTGGTCTCGTTTAGTCTGAACATCCCCATTTCTTTTGTTCCTCCTCTATCCTGGTTATAAAAATCAAAATTAGCAGCATTTAGGAATTTCAGTTCCCAAAGATATCTTGTGCAATTTCCTCCTAATATTTGGAACTGACTGGGTATGAAATCTGTCTTTAAGGAAGACTTGGCCATCACTGAAGTGAGGATCAGTTGTAGTATGCTTTTACATAGCTTCCTTAAGTCATTCAAGAAATGTGGTTGGGTTTTCATTTGGACCCTGATCATTTGGGCCAGCTTAAAGTGATGTATAGGTTTGACTTTACTGGCCGTTAAGACTTCTAGAATGCAATTTATAAAATGTCTGCAGTTCAAATCACTGGGGTCATTACAATCCCACTTAGAGGGTCTACAGGCACTGCTTCAGGCTCTATAGAGTATCTATAATCTAAAGCAGTGGTGGTGAAACTATGGCACATGTGTTATTGTGCTTTTAAGACAAAAGATGTTAATGTATGATTTTTTTTCTAAACTAAAACCTCAGTATTCAGGTTTAACTGCATGTTGGTACTTTCTGTGAGTGGCGTTTGGGTTGCATTTTGGGCACTGGGTCTCTAAAAGGTTTACTGTCACTGAGTAGAGCATGTATGTCTTCAGCATAACATCTGATTCTTGCTTTGGACTTTTCTGAATTTGTAACAGTCTGTCTCAGAATAACACTGACATCCTTCAAAGATAGTTTAGAATGATGAAGATGTCAGAAGGCTCATCTGAAAAACTACCCAAGTCCTGTTTGATTTGCTTTAGGTCCTGAAAAGAGAAAGGTTGGTGAGCTCTAACTGGTCTGAATTCAGCCAACAACTCCTGAAAAGGGCATATGGAGCAGGTGAGGCCATGCTGAGAGCCTTGAATAAAAAGGAGCTGATCCATTTTTGCTTGAGTTCTGAACATTAGGGTTACCTACTTATCCTCTCAGGAGGTGGCTCAAGAGATAGAATTTATCTAAATGATGGGGTTCCATTTTATTCATGAATGCCATTATACCTGGATCTAACTTATACTAGGAATATAAATAAACCAAAGAAAGCCTGCAGAGAAGATGCCTTCAACCACTTTCCTGCCTTTTTATAAAAGAGGTCTAATTGGAGTATAGTCATAGAGTGCACTGAGAGGTAAGTTAGGACAAATCTGTCAGGAAAAGAATACATGGCTCAAAAAAAAAGGCATCCCCTTTCCTACAAGAAGGAAATAAATCGGCAGGAATTGCAAAAAGGTATCCCTCTTTGTCCATTTGCAGATAGGAATCAGATGTAATCCATCTTGTGGTGTCCCAGATCTGGGTGGTTGGCCTCCATGGTCTTTTTAAAAGTAATGGCTGACAGAATACCTCTCGTTAGAAGATGTACTAGTTTGTATTCTGCCGATATCTGCGTGGAAGAGGCCCAACTCATTTCCCAAAGTACACAGTGATATATACCACCTAACACATAACAAAAGATTATAGCTGTCTTAGAATCCATTAGCACACGAACCAGACTTAACTGATATTCTACACAAGAAACACGTCTCTCAAAACAGGATTGCATATTTAGGTAAAGTTAGCAGAGCTATTAACAGTATGCAATCTTCTGTTCAAGACTGGCATTACTCCTGAAAGTGGAGGAGAAGACAACAGAAACTAAAGAACTTTAAGACAGAATGCCAAAACCTAGGGAAAACAAGCTTCAAATCACACTGCCAACAAGGATACTTTAACTGAGGCAAAAAGTCTCACACATTTTGGAACAATTTGGACTGCTGCAGCACAGCATAAACACAGAACAGAAAGGCTCTTGATTTTAATCCAAAAATAGAGGCAATGCATTCAGAGATCTCATCTTATCACTTGATGAAATCTTGAGTCACAGCACCAAAGATATTACTGGGAAGCTAGGTCCTAATTGGGTGAGGTCCTAACACTGCTAGGACTCAGCAAAACATCTTGATCCTTTGTGGGTCTGACAAAAGATTTCAGACAAAAGACACGCAGGCTGTCTAGGCAGGTTACTGAAAAATGGTATTTTTCCACACAGCAAGAGAATACCGTTGACTGAATGAGGCCTCACTTACATTTATATAATTCACTGGGGACTTTCAAAGAACAGACATCCTTTCCTTCCTCAGAGGTCACTGTGCTTTCACAAATAAAATGGGCTGTGTCTATCTGCTTGAGAGAGAAATAGTTCTCTGATTGCTTTTAAGTGGATGTCTCTATTTGGTTTAAGATCTTGAGGTTTTTCCAACCCCTCATCCAAAGATTTTGTATGGGCCTTAGACCTTATCAGCATGCTCAGAGAATGTTACAGTCCCTTGAGCTAGTTTGAAACTACAAGTTTGTGTGGATTTCATCTGCAGCTAATGAATAAGAAAGTGGAGGGAAAGGAAAATCACATCTTTTTAAGTAGCCCGCAGGCACATTTCTTGCCTGGTAATCACTTTCTGCCTAACAACATGGCTTCAGAGCTTCTATTAGATTTTCAAAGGAATTCCCAATTTTCCCCAAACGGAGTCGCGACTCTGACCCAAGTTGTCTCACCACACACACACACACACACAAACAAATTCTCGTAAAAATCAGATTCACAACGGAAAACAAAAAATCACAAGTACATTGAAAGGTAGGAGAGAAAGAAATCCTCTCGGTCGCCCCAGGAGAATTCTCGCAAACACTGCTATTCACCGACAAGGAAGTTCTGAAACATATTTCTGATTTACAGTGTGGCACTAGGACGCAGGGCCAAATCCCAGTCCTCACCTGCTCAACAAAGCCCAACTTGCCCAATTCCTGGATGAAAAGTTCCGGCAAGAGCAAGTGGTAGGTGAAGCCAGGGGTCGCCTGCAAGCGACACATGAGGGTCACCACACCCACTCGCCCGGCGCTGTGCTTAGCAAAAGGACCCAAGCGAGACGCCCGGAGCCGGCCAGCGGTCCCCAAGCCAAGCCTTCCCAGCTCCGCCGGAGGCCGAGGGGAGGGTGGGACGTCACCTGAGGGCTGTTGCTGTCGTCCCCTTCCCGCACCCCTGGCACCCGGATGTTCGTTCCAGCACCGGTCTCCGAAGCGGCAACGGCCTTGAAGGAAGAACTGACAAATGGCCATTGCAAGGACTCAGCGGGGTGGTCTTCAAGCAAGACAGCCAGCGAGTATCCCAACTAAACCGAACAAGCCCGCCGGCTTCTGTGACGCCATCGTCTTGCGCCGGAAAACGCACTTTCATCTAGTCCCGCCCCTAGCGTGTGAGAGGCGTGGATATTACCCAATAGGATTGGAGAACAGCGAGTCTCTCCAGACAACTGGGTGTAGCCTGTGAAACGGGGTTAGTTGAAAGGGTAGGTGGAAAACCTCGAGTCGCGTTTGACCTGGGTGCAAGATCTTGGACTTCAGGGACGCTGGAGATCCGGATGAGAGGAAAGCAAATGTAGAACTTTAGCAAGGCCCCGAGGGGAGAATTGATGTGGTTTGAGAGATGGTGTTATTTTTTTCACTTGTAACTGCTGAGAAAGAAAAACTCGTGCAAGTCGGGCGTGGTGGCGCACGCCTGTAAGCCCAGCACTCGGGAGGCTGAGGCAGGAATATCGCTCTGAGTTCGAGACCAGCCTGGGCTACATAGTGAGTTGCAGGTCAGTCTCAACTACATAGTGAGACCCTGTCTCAAAAAAGAAAGAAAGAAAGAACGAAAGAACTAATGCAAACCAGGTGAAACTGCCCAGCCATTCATCAGGATAAATAAAAGCAGGAAAAAGCCAGTTGTGACGTGAAGTGCAAACATTTCCTTTCAGGACATGTTGTGACTGAGAAGGATCATCATAACACCTGCCTTGCTACCTGCTGAGAAATCTTAAGTCCACATAAACAGTGCTCTTAGAAATTGAATCAGTAAGAACGAAACATCCCATTCTTGCTTTGAGGCGCTAATGTCACTTTTAATACAGAGAAGCAGCCTCAAATTTTATCCTGGTGCACAGCTTCAGATAAAGCGTTTCTGAGAAAAACATTCCATATATTCTCCCCGCCTTCTCCCTCCCTTTCTTTCCTTTTTTTTGTACCGGGGATCAAACTTGGGACCTTGCGCGAGGCAAGTGGCAGCGTTTCCATATTTTCTTAACTTTGCAGTTTCTAGCGAACATGACCCTGTTTCCATTTCCCAGTCTAGACCTGATGTCGATATACAGGTTTGCTTTGCTTTGAGCCAATCAAAACAGTTTCAACTCCACTTTGTCCCCCAAAATCCTACAACTGCCTTTTATTTTGTGTGATGTGATAATCACGTATTTCTGATGTGCAGTCTCCTTGGTTGTGCTGTTAATAAGCCCGACTTTGACCATGCCCGCCTCGCAAGCTAGAGGTCCTGAGTTTGACCCCTGGTACAAAACGAAAACAAAACTCCGACTTTGTTGCATTGCAGGTTTGTCTACTGTGGTTTTAGGATGACTAGACTAGAGCTGAGCCATCATCACTCATGTACTTTGGATTTTGAAGACAGTGGGATCTATAGGAGCACTAGACGCTATTGTGAAGAGTAGTATTTTTAAGATCAATGGAAAAAATTTTTTAAGCAAAACACTCACTTTTTGTTCTGTAAGCACTACACATAGGCACTTTAACATACAATGTCCCAGCATCACAACTCCTCTGTGCCAACAACAGGTGAGCTCAAAATAGCTGTCACAATCTATTCTTGCCTTATGTTTTAAGCAAATAACCATGGTACAGCAGTATAAATATTGATCTTCTAGATTTTGTAAATGCTTGTAAATTGTTTTTAACAGTTTTCGGGACTACATTAGATGCTAATGATGGGCCTACATAGGCCAATTTTAAAGTGCATAATAGAGGATAATAAATCCTGCAGAAGTTTCAGCCTCTGTAATATCATAGGTTAACAGTTTTACAAATTTATAAACATTAATAGGAAATAATATAAGAAATTCTGTAAGAGGCATTTAGTTTTGTAATAGCTTCTTTGATGAACACTGACATGTTCTTCATCTGGGATGAATTATGAAGAACATCTAAGTCTTTTAGAAGAACATTCTGGTTTGCAATTATCATCAAAACTTCTTTCTGAAGCTGGGCATGGTGGTGCACACCTATAATCCCAGCACTCGGGAGGCTGAGGCAGGAGGATCACTGTGAGTTCGAGACCAGCCTGGGCTACATAGTGAATTCCAGGTCAGTCTCAACTAAGTGAGACCCCGTCTCAAAAAACCAAAAAACAACAACAACAACAACAAAAAAACTCCTTTCTGCAATGTGGGTGCTTTCAGATTGTGCTGAGAAAGCTCTGGGAGAGAAAATATGCTATGTCTATCCAGTTGAAGCACCTCTTTTGCCTTTTCCTGCTCTTCCTCTATCTCATGTGCCAGAATTTCAGTCATTTTTTCGACTCTGAATATTCTCATCACTGACTCTGTAGTCTGTACTATTTTATCTATTTCTTCCTGCAATAATTCCAGCCCTTCATTATCTGTCTTGTGTTCTTTCCATTTTCAGTAGATGCCACGTTAGTTAAATATTTCAGCTTTTGGAGAGGGGCTTTCAGGGTTTCACATGGTTGTAGCAACCTTTTCTTCAGGCAGTTGTGATGATACTGAATGTGTTCTTTTTCTTTAATGTTATTACTCAAAATTTCTATATGCTTCCATCATAGTTTGCAAATGCTCCCTCACACTCTTTGAAAGAGGTTGCCAAGTTTTTTTGTTGGATGCTATCTTTATCTATTTTAGATTAATAGGATTTGTTTTTCCTTCAGAAGACATGTGCTTTGGATGATTTTTCCTTTTTTTATTGGGCTTCTAACCGCTTTCTCTAACAACTCCATTTCATCATCAATTTCTCTTTTTGATTTTTTTTAACTGTTAAGACTTTATCTTGGAAGCATTTTCTTTACCAGGCATCTTGATCTAAATAGTACAATTATGATGCTTAAAAAAAAAAACACAACTGATTCTTCTTGGATGTCTCTGAAAACCACATTTAGAGGAATTCAAGCCCAAACAACCAAAATGCCACAGGGACCAGAAGTAGGTGGGTAATGAAGTTTATTTTCAAACAAATTTATGGAAGTTATAGTACAAAGCTTCCCCTACTCTGCAACTGTTTGAGTCTGTGTTGCAGAACTAATATCCATTACCCAGATACTACTTCAGGAAGTGACAAAAATGATGGAATATGTGGTTCAAAGTGGGGGAGGATTTTGAGGGGATTAATAGCAATATATCTTTTACTGTAATAATATTGTTATTCACAGTATTTGTCCATCACACCTCATAGATTTGATACAACAGTATATTCTACTTAACCATGAAATAATCAAAATTAAGACATTGATATTGATCCATTACTATTATCTTAGACTCCATATGTACCAATAATGTCCTTTTGCATAAAAGGATGCAGTTCAGAGTCATTGTTGCTTTAGTTATATTTAGTCTCTTTCAGTCTGGAACATTTCTTCAATCTTTAGTTTTCATGACCTTGACACTGTTAAGGATTAGAGGATAGTTGAAGTTTCTCAGTGATGTTGTTTAATGTTTTCTTGTGATTTGATTTATACATTATGTAAAGATCATCACAAAAAATGTTGCTGTCTTCACAATGCACCTATTATGCACAATTTAAATTTGTTCTATTTTCCCTGATGTTCACTTTGATCATTCAATTGAAGTGGTGTCTTCCAAGAAGCCCCACTATAAAATTACTCTTTTCCTCTTTGGTATTAAGAATTTTGTAGGGAGGTACTGTCAATATATAAAAATCTGACTCACCACACTTTTAGTTAATTCATTTGTATATATTCTTATTGAGATGGTCTCATGATTCTGAATTTTTGACAGTGGGTTATAATTCATTACTATAATTTATTTTAATCCTTAAATTCCTAACTTAGCCACTTGGAGCCTTGAGTGTATATTGAAGAAGACAGTACATCACTTAGGGAAAAGGTCAAATTAAGTTCCAGCAGGGTGGACACTAGTCTCTAAAGAAGGCTGAAAAGTCTCAAGAATTAAGAGCTGCTTGGGGCAGGGATTTAGCTCAGTGGTTCCACCACCTGCCTCGCAAGCACAAGGGTCCAAGTTCGATATCTGGTACCAAAAAAAAAAAAAAAAAAAAGAAAAAAAAAAAAAAAAAAAAAAAAGGAAACAAGAATTAAGAGCTGCTAGATACCACAAGAGCTTATATCTGTATAAGGTACGGTTAGAAATTGGTTCCAAAAGCCCATCCAGGAAGGCAATTATTCCTACCTTTAAGAAATCTTTCTTTTTTCTCTTTTCCTTCCTTCATTCCTTCCTTCCTCATCTTCATATGGATCTCTTATGGATTCCCATAAAAAATAATTAGCTATTCACTTATCAAATTATGTTCACTGTTTCAGTACCTTTTCTCATTGCTGAAACACAATACTCAACACCCAAAGTTAAAGAAGGAAAAGCTGAGTTTGTAGAGATTTTGGTTCGTAGTTGGCTGGCTCCCAGGAAGGGTGGCATGGCAGAGGGGAAACAGTAAATGGCAGGCAGAAGGCAGCAAGCAGCAAAGTAGCGAAGCAGCAAGTGACCACAGCAGTCCTCTGTCTTTTATATTCTATCTGTGATACAAACTCTTAAATCAGGTAGCACTCACATCCAAGTTGAGTATTCCCATATCCACACCCAGAACTATGCCAAACTAGTGAATTTAGTAATCACACACCCTTAATCCCAGCATCACACTCTAAATATATCTACCTCTGAAAAGCCTCACCTATGACCACATGAGGCTTTGGGGGGGACATCTAGACACAAGCCATAACACTTTTGTGTGTGTTGAGAATGAATCCAGCACTTGTGCATGCTTAGCACATACTACACCAAGCTACAACTCCAGCCCCATATGTTCACTGATTATCATAAATTCATCCTGTACAGAAAAGTTATTAGTTTTTTTTATAAATAAATAGCCAGGGAACAGTATTTGGAGACAAACACCAAACCCAGTCTTCTTTACATTGGTACATGTAGCAAAAAAAAAAGCAACTTAGAGGAAACAAACACAAGAGTATTAAAAAAATGTTAAACTAAAATAACCTCGGAGTACAATATACAACAAAAACACCATGTTATGTAAAAAGACAGTAAAATAGAAAGTTTTCTTAGAAATTAAACATGGAAAAATTTAGAGTTAGGAGATGGCATTGACAATTGTGTCCCAGCAGCAATTGTGTGATAATTGTGTAGAGTAATAGTTCTAGGGCGGAAAGAGACACTTGTTAGGGAATCTCTTGTAAGACTGATTTATCCCAAATTAATTTGAATTAACTTGAAGAGGAAAATTAGAAAGATGATAGCGAAACTTTTAAAGAAAATTCGAGGTTCCTGTCAAGAGGAAGGATGGTAAACACTTACCAAGGGTTGAATGATGCAACCTGTAAAATATCCTTTCATATTACCAACTTACTGAGGTTTGGTGACAACTGGCTTTAACACACATGCCATGTTGGAGATTAGATTTTAAGTCTTTGGCATATGTTAATACTATCAACCTTGAAAAACAAAATTTCCTATACATATTTCCTTTTATCTTTATATAAGCAGCAAATCACATGTAAGGCAAAGGGAATATAGTTGAATAATTTTTAAAAAGGCACTTTTGTTAATATTGCCATATCAAAATAGTTCATTGTAACATTTTTCATAAGATTACATGTTAAAATTTTGGAAGCCAGGCCACAGACCCATGACTAATTAATCATGGTTTGTCATGACTTTTTAAAATCGAAATGCTAAGCTTTCATGTTCAAATTGTGATTATCAGAAGTAAAAACTGAATTGTGTCATCAAAAGTGTCATTGCAGGGTGCAGTGGTGCATGCCTGTAATCCCAAAACTCAAAAGGCTGAGGAAGCAGGGTTGCTGTGGGTCTGGCCAGAGTGGGCTGCACAGTGAGTTCAAGGTTAGCCTGAATAACAGCGTGAGACCCTGGCTTAAAAAACAACAAAAAAACAAAACCCCAAAGTGACACTGCAAAAGGTGTAACACTAACATACCAAATATCTGCTAAAATGAAAGTAGAACCTTTTATAAAATAGGAACATTTTTGCCAAAAAAAGTAAATGTACTTGTTGATTATCCTGGCATTGACAATTGTGTAGAATAATAGTTTTAAGGCAGAAAGATACTTGTTAGGAATTAGGGTACAGATCACTAAGGGAAAAACTTCACTATAACATACACTAAACCCATCTATATTATTATTATGTTACAAGTTAGTTGACAAAGCCTAAAGAGAACAGCTAGTGTATTTGAAGTATCTTACGGAGTGCTGCGTGTCCTAGATGTGCGATTAAATTAATACAGTGGACTCGACTTATGAAGTAAATTCATTTTCAAGGGCTGGTTGTAATTCAAGTTGGTCAATTGAAGGCTCAGGCTCCTCTACAGAGCCTTTGGTCTCTCTCCTGTATACAGGCAGATCTCAGCGTCCTTAGAGCCATTGGCCCAAGATTTCTGCACCTCACAGGAAAGGAGGTTGTAATGCTCCTTCCTTTTAAGGGTCAAATCTGTATCTCAAACCATCTGGAAGACAAGTGGCTGGCATTGGGGTCATAACTCAAGACTTTGGTCATAGGTTAAAACTAAAATTCCAGTCATAACCCAAGTTGTTTGTATGTCAGGCTGGTCATAACTCAAGGGTCCACTGTATAACTATATTGTAATATGATAAATGGATATTCTGCCCTCAACAAATCTAGCCACATTTTTTAAAACAGTGCAAAATTCAAGACCCTATATAAAAATGTTCAGAACAGTGAAATCTAGAGTTAGAAGGTAGGTTAGTGATTGCCTAAGGCTGTTGTGTTTGGGGTGTGTACTGATGACAAAATTCATGTCCCCTTTCAACCTAAGAATATGACCTCATTTGGAAATAGGATCTTTGCAGATGTAAGTGGTTAAGAACATATTGAATGGGGGCCACTAGATGCAATAACTATTATCCTTATAAAAATATCTCACGAAGATATGGAGGAAAAGGCTACATAAAGATGGAAGCAAAGGTTGAAGGGATGCAGCGGGAAGCTGAGGGATGTCAAAAACTGCTGGCAGCCACCATCAAAGCTACGGGAGTGGCATGAGCCAATCCTACTGACTCCTTAATATAATAACAAAGGACACCTGTCCTGAATGGTGAGAAAATAAGCGGCTGTTGTTTTGAGCCACAAAATTTGTGGTAATTTGTTATGGCAGCCCTAGGAAACTAATATAAGGGGGAAATGGAGAAAGATTGTTAATGAATACAGGGTTTCTTATTTGAGTGATGAAAACATCCTGAAATTATGGTGATGCTGGCACTCTGTGAGTATACTAAAAACCACTGAAAGGTACAGGCAAAATGGGTGAATCGCATATGAATTATATCTTAATAAAGCTATAGGAAACCCAACATAAATATAAATACACACGACATTGTTTTTTTTCTAATACTTTTAAATTTAAATGTTCTTAGGATTTAACATTACAATAATTTCCATATAAACGAAGCATAAAATTAAAATAGAAACATTGTTTCAAAAATTGAAAAAACTGGGACAGGGATTTAGATCAGTGCAGTGATGTCATGCCTGCCTGGCAAGCGCAAAGTCCAGAGTTCAATTATGAGTACTGGAAAAAAAAAACCAAACTTAAAAAACTACCAAACATATTGAGAATGAAAAATGAATAAAACTGAGCAGTCTATTTTAAGTAAAAAATATTTAATATTATCAGATAAAAACAATGACAGTTTTACATGGCTCATTTCATACATAATGAAAAGGGTAGAACATTACTTGTAAAGAAATTAGTTGTATTGGCAAATCACTGACCACATAAAAGCAATGAACAAGTGATAACATATTTAAATTATTACAAAACTTTTCGAGACAATTGCATTAAATATCTCATGTGTTCTGCTAAGGGAAAAGAAATCACACATCTCTTTAATTAATAAGTTCAAAGTCAACATTGATACTGTGATAAAGCTGTCACTGGTTTTCTAATGATCTAGACGTATTTTTAAAATAGCTTTGTCTTCTGCTAATCACTCTTTTATGACTGGATTTTATTTACCAGTGGGGGCTGAAGCTATAGAACACTTTTTAGACCACTGAGTTAAAAAAAAAATGATAGGCACAAAGCTTGACATCTTATGCTAAAAAGATGGAATATATTAAGTTGAATTGAATATATTTCATGAGGACTGGACACACTGTTGAGTCTAAAGATCTGTTTATGAGGTTTTGTAGGAAAGTATGTGTATACTCTGACTTACTCTGCTTTCTTTGAAATGGACTACATTTGGCAGTAGATGAAACAAATCAAGACAAGTAAAACTGTGACACAAAAATGCTCCATCAGAGCTGCCTATTTTGACTTATAATCCATAATACTGTATTTCTCAGTTGTGGACCAAACAGGAACAAACAGACCGAACTACATAGCACTTACATGATTATATGAAAATAGAATCTAGAGTTATGATGGGGTTGCTTCAGCAATGAGCATCCCTCACTCTGCCATAATTATTACAATGTAAAATTCATTCAAGAAATTAATATTTCCAACAAATGCTTATAATTTCTCAAGTTTTCTTGCTAGATATAGTCCTTATGATGTGGCCAGATAAATGATGGTCTAAGAGTTAAGTAAAGAAATCCATATAGAAGAAATATTTAGCCAGGTGTGGTGGTGCACACCTGTAACCTCAGCTACATAGGCAGCTGAGGCAGGAGGATTCCATGTTGGAGGGCAGTCTGGGTAATGTAAAGAGACCCTGTCTCGAGATAAAAGAGCTGGAGATACAGCTCAGTGGTAGAACACCTCTGGGTTCAATCTCCAGCACTGGGGAAGGGAGGAAGGGTTATATGATAGGGGTCTTATTTCACTCATTTTAAACTTCCTTCACCAAAACACCAAATCGAACTTTGTAACCAAACTTTTGGAACAAAGCTCTGAGGTCATATTTTTGAGTCTTGATGAGTCTTGAAGTCTACTCATTTTTCATGTTTCAAGGGTTTCTTCATTTGCTCCACAAGTATCAACAACACAAATCAAACAACTTGTGACTGGGAAAGCACGGACTTTGGAATTGGCCACCCATTTGTCTGTTTCAGTGTTGTATTCGAGGATGTGTCCTAATCGGCCTACACCTTGAAAACCAGCCAAGACATAAACGATGGAGCCAACTGCTGCACACTTCACTGTCACGCCCTTCCATGGCATTGGTGAGACCATCTTCCATTCATTTGATTTTATATCATAATACTCCACATTGTCCAGGCCACCTTCAAAAGAATAAAAAAAAATGAATAACGTGAAAAACTGTATGAATAATTTAAGATCTCCTAATCATTTTTGTATTTTTCTAACATCTTATTTTCAAAATAAAATTTTCAAACTCAAAGATTTCAAGAATTTTATAATGAATGCCCTCATTATCTATTTCTTAAATTCTTTTTAATGCAACAGACATTTAATCTAAACATTTTAAACAATCACAATGATTTTCTTCTACAAAATTAAGTGTTCTATCCAGCCTGGGGAAAAAAAAATTGACTTCCTCTCTGATTAACTCTGACAATAATTATTCAAATGTCTTTTTCTTCTTTTAGCCATTTATGGAAAATAGCAATGGATGAGGATAGGTGAAAAGAAGTGTTTTTTTTTTCTTTTTTCTTTTTTTCTTTGGGTACTGAGGATTGAACTGAGAACCTTGCACTTGCGCTAAATCTCTGGTCCAGTTATTTATGTTATATTTAAAGCTTAAATGTATAGACCAAAATGAAGCCATGACTACCTCTAGATTCAGTTCAGATTGACCATTATTTAGTAAAATTATTTCAAATTCTTAAGGACATAATTATTTAAGACAATAGGAAGATCAAAATTCATTGCAATAATACTGGTATTTTTTTCATGCAATGTTTAGGAAAATTTATTATTTAGATCCCAGATACAAGGCCAAAAGCTTCTGTTTGAAAAGTTTCTAATGCTTTTTGTTTGCTTGTTTTTTGGTACCCGGGATCAAACTCTGGTCCTTATGCTTGCAAGGCAGGCGGTGGAACCACTGAGCTAAATCCCTGGCCCGAATCATTTTTTTTTTTTTTTTTTTTTGGTACCTGGGATTGAACTCGGGTCCTTGTACTTGCAAAGCAGACCACCAAACCGCTGAGCTAAATCCCCTCTAATGCTTTTTTTGTTTTCATTTTTACAGTTGGAGATCTAACCCAGGGCCTCTTGCAGGCTAGGCAAGCGCTCTACCACTAAGCTTCAGTTGCAGTTCTTTTAAAGGGCTGCATTGTTTCATTATTTCTAGAAACCTATAAAAAAAAACCCAAATATAATGACATATGTCGTAAATATGTGGTACTTAGATTTCAGAAAACACTTCAGTAATTTAAGATGATGAAATATAATAGGAAAATTGAACAGCGAATTAACACCATATACCTAATCCATTCTGACCACCCACAGCAAATATCTTGTCTTTTACAAATACCAGCCCGTGATTCTTCCTGGCCTCAATCATTGGGCACAGCTCAGTCCATCTGAAAAAGACAAAAGAAAGTATTTAGTGTGCTTATTCACAGGAAATAAAGTGATAAATCTAGTAAGAGAGGTCTGTTATCCTAATATAAATAAATGCTCATTTACTCCTACGTATACAAACATATGTATATACAAAATGTTTTGACAGGCTAGAAAACAAGTTTAACAGTGATTATGGGCCAGTTTTTTATAAGTTGGGATAAACTGGGCTTCTATTCCTTTAAACTTTGATAGAATATGAGAAATAGAGGATATCTGGAGATTATTAACACATCTTTGAAAGGCATCCATTTCCTATGGTTTATAGTAACTTTAAAAATGGCAACAAAAAGAAAAGGAAGAAAGTAAAAAGCACCAATTCTGTCACACACACCTCCTCCTTCTATGTTACTGAGAACTGAACTCAAGGCCTTTGCACCGAGCTGCATCCCTACTCCTTTTTTATTCTTTGAGACTTTGAAACTAAGTTGCCTAGGCTAAGCTCAAATTTGCTATCTTCTTGTCTCAGCCTCTCAGAGTGCTGGAATTACAGGCATGTATCACCATGCCTGGCTATATGTGGTTTTTAATAAATATTTATGTATAAAGTCATAATGAGCCCCAGGCAATCAGCATTTTAATCTTTAAAGCAATACCAAGGACTTTCAGCGATTAGATTTAAAAAGTTCTATAACTTTGTCAAGTTTAACAACATCCTGTTGTTCTGCCCACCATCATAAATAATGACACTGACAGTAAAAAGGTGGACACAGTGTTGAAGGATATTAATTTCATAGGTGGTATCATTGTACACATAAACAACACAGACAACTGTGTTTGGTTTTTTTTTCTGTGTCCAATGCACCTTCTAGCACTTTGTCTATTCATTTTTATTTTTGTGATGCTGGGGATTGAACCTAGAGCTCTTCTCCTACTGCTCTACCATGGAGTTACATCCATAGCCCTATATTCACCAAGTTTCTAAAAATAATGAGGTTACAGAATTCCTTTATAGTTTTCCCCTATGAATGAGAACATATTGACTTATACTGATACTGCCTGAATAAAAATCTCAACATTTAGAAGTACAGAGTTTATATTGCTATAGGTTCAATTTTAAAAGGTTTTTTAGAAAAGGAAAAATAATTAGGCAGTAGTATGAATCAGATTACAATTTTCCAACTAGTATGCTGCAACATGTTTTGATCATCACGTTTTTAGGAAGTAAGGTAGAGGTTCATAAAGGAGGGAGAACATAAGCATCCGCACCTTAGCAAGTACAAGGTATATTTTAAAAACCACTAGAAAGTGATATATTTGGATGATCTTAAGAGTTTACCAGTCTTAACACTTTAGCAAATGATAAACTTCAAGGCAAGCTGCTTCTACTTCTATTCCTTATATTAGTAACATGTTGAGCAAAAAATAAGAAAAATTGCAACTGCACTTTTATTTGGGAAAAAAGTTTACTAATTATGCTTTCCTTAAGTCCTTATTTAAAAATAGAAAGGAAGCACAAATAGATTAATGTATATGATTGATCCTATTATATAATTACCCTCTATGTTAAAAAGAAGCAATAGAGTGGAAGATATCTATACTTGGTAGTGTGGCAATATTTTTTTAAATATAAAGTATGAAGCATAAGAGTTTTGGTGCAATTCTCCAGTATAATGTTTAACTTGAATATATTTACTCAATAATTTGTTCTAGTAAAAGAACAATGGACAACCCAACCAAATGAACAAGTGATCTTTAAAAGCTCTTTGGGTATGTCAACAAAAAGCATAACTGAGGTCATAGTTGTTTTATTTCCTAATTGGCTTTAATATCACTGCTATCCCATTATCCAATGAGTAGTAAAATTCCTTTGGTTATATTGAAGGGTCCCATCATCAACTACAGGTTAGAAAAACTAGCTGTTTCATTCTTTAGCACTTTGCCTTTTTAAAAGTAGTTATTTGCTTCTCACTTGGTTTAAGAATAATTTTATTTAATACACATTAATCCAAGCATATATTTTTTAGGAAGTATGAACCCCAAAAGATATTATACCTGGGGGTATTATTTATTAATACCATAAGCCAATATATAATATTTCCACTTAAGGATAAATTTGTTACTGATTATAAAGTCTTTCCCTTTATATTTCCTAACCTCTCAAAGAAAGATATTTATGTGTTTTGATTAGTTACTCAGACATATCTCATTCATAGGTATTTACAAACAGGACCAAAAAGACAGGCCTCCCACAGGGTATAAGGTCGAGCCACTTCTTAAGGTGCAAAGGAAGGGTCAAAGCCTTCAAGTGTATGTATTGTCTTAATGTAAGAGCTAATTTATTCTGCTGGGTTCCTTCTGCCTTTTAACATCTCCTACTGAGCTTGCATAGTAACTGCAAAGTACGAGTTTTAGATCAGTACTTACGTTTCTGTGGCAGGATCATAAACTTCACAGGAATTAAGCACTCTCCCAGACACATTGTTCCCTAAGCTCCCACCGCAAACATAGATCAGGCCATTGGCTTCCACCATCCCGTGGCTGCAGCGCTGAGTTAGCATGCTGGGCTTCGTGTGCCAGCTTTCTGTTCTGGTGTCATAGCACTCAAATAAATACAGAGCTGAGTTTCCTGTGAGAGAAAAGGGGCCCGACATATTTGACTTCAATGTGTTTGTGTGGCATTGGAGTAAAATGACTGCAGGGCAGACATAAGTAATGAAAGGGAAGAATTTAGGGTTCTGGGATCATTTTTATACTCATCAACCACAAAAATATAATATAGAGTGTGAAAGCATAGCTACTTACAGATGGTTAATCCACACCTTAAAATAGAAATTTTCAATTTCATAAACTATGAAAATTACTCTTTGATCATACTCTTAAGGTTTACTATTCCATAATAGCTACTGCACCATTAACTAAACTATAGCGGGCCAGGGATTTAGCTCAGTGGTTCCGGCGCCTGCCTCACAAGTGCAAGGGCCCGAGTTCGATCCCTGGTACCAATAAATAAATAAATAAATAAACTATAGTGTACTTCCTGACTACTCTCAGAGACTGTGTGGGTAAGCCCTGAAGTCATACTGGTTCATTCCTGAGTACACTATCAAGATATCAAATATAAGGTGTATACTAATTGTACATTTTAAGAAAAACATATACTCATCATATTTTGCAAATTTTCCACCTTACAGGAACTTGATAAAGGATTTTGGAAATTGATGATAAAGTGTTGTTTTTCCTTCCTAAGAAAAAAGAAGTGAGAACTTTACCTATTTCTTATTGCCAACAGTTTTGGGGTAATAACAAATGATACAAAAATAATTACAACAGCTGTCTTGATCAGAGAATAACAAACAGAAGCAGCAATGGGCCTGACAAGCAATAATTTATTTTTACCTTTTTGAACATTTGATAGATTCAGGCTGATGGACAGATACTAGAAAATATACAGTATATACAGAGTCCGCCAAATAATACATGCACCCTTTTGTAGTTTGCCATCCTATGTCTAGCAGCTAATGGCCACCACTCTGAGCAAAGGTCAAAGTAACTTGTATTAACCTCATGATGTCTCAATAAATTAAGAATTAAAATATTTGTACCAAGTTTTTCTTTTCCTGATGTATACTTTTTTTGCAGGATTCTGTAGATTAAAAGAAAAAATCCCACTATTTAAGCAAAAAATTGACTTAGTAGAGTGAATGCTAAGGAAATGAAGTTATCTACTGTACCACCGAATACTTACTTTCTGTCATCTTTATGACTATATTTGAAATATGCCATATTATGACATCATGTGGAGAATGCATTTAAAAAGGGCATTTTAAGTAACATTTAATAAATCACAGTTTTTCTTGTATATATTTGACATATAGTGGGGGGTAAAAATTTAAAACTGATAAATATACTGATTAAAAGTAAAACATTCTCTGAGTTATTATCAAAATAGTCAAAGAAAAATAAAAAGATTTAACATTTAAATTCCGTATCTTAGGTTTATTTGGTCTTCCTAGTTTTTGTTATAAGCTCATTATTTAGCTAAAAAAATTACTTGAAAAGATGAAAGCATATAAAAGCTATTATGTATCTAGTCTGTACCTATTTAGAAAAATTATTCATTTAGAAAAAGATTACTAGATACTAAAAAGCCATCAATGAGAAAGGTTTTTATACCCACACCCACATCCTATTTTGATTAATAAGCATAAAATATCTTTACCAGCCATTAGCTTAAAATCTTAACATATAAAGCAAATGAAAAAGGTCATTATTTATTCTGATACAAAGAAAGCAAAAAAAAAAAATACAGATTTTAAAAGCTTAAATATATAAAAAGTTCTTAAAGGATTATGAGTAAGTCCAACTCTAAAGCAAATAATATTACACACTAAGAAGTAATTAATTTAGAACTAAAATTCAGATACTGATGCTTCATTACAACAAAAAATGGGCAATTAAGAATGTAGGGGGCCGGGAATTTAGCTCAGAGGTTCGGTTGCCTGTCTCGCAAGGTCCCAAGTTTGATTCCCCCATACCAAAAAAAAAAAAAAAAAGACAGAAGCTGGCATTCTTGCAAATTTTTTTTTTTTTTTGGGTCCCTGGGATTGAACTCAGGGCCTTTTGTGCTTGCAAGGCAGGAAGTGGCACCACTGAGCTAAATTCCCAGCCCTCTTGCAAATTATTGACTTAAAGCATTAAGCTAAGCCTTCAAGGAAATGGGTTCTAAAATGTGACAGACATGTATTTAAAATACCAAAAAGTGTGTCAAGAAATATCAATTTATATCTAAATATGGAAACCAAGATATCTGGCTTTAAAGAGCTCTTGAACAAAAATATCAAGAAGTCCTTACCTACTTCTGAGCCTCCAGAGGTATAAATTTTGCCCTCCGCAGCACAGGCAGCAAGGCTGTCTCGAGGTGTTGGAGGACCCAGCTTAGAGTACCAGCTGTCCTTCACTACATTGTAGCAGTCCATTCGTTTTATGGGGAAAAGCTGAGAGCCACCCAAAATGTACACTACATTGTCCCAAAATACGCATGCTGCATCTCTTCGCTTTTCAAAGGGGCAGCGGATATCTGTCCAGCTATAATCCTGAAACAGGAAAAGACAGGAAGCTTCCACTAAGGGAATATCATTGAAAAAGACAAAGCATAGACATTGCTGAGAAAATACAAAACTGTTTTAATTTGCTAAAATTCACATACAAATGTTTATCTTGACACTACTGGCCAAAATAATCTATGTGATTTTTTTCAGAATGTTGTCTCGCTGGGGTAGATAGCAAGAGAAAGGCACATGACTACTTTGTGTCTTTTCCAGCTTTTAAATTTTTAAAATAAACAATTTATTTTTAAAATAAACAAATATATTTGGCTATACCATGATCGTGCTGCTTTGTATTCCTTCTGTTGTTGAAGAAAAACAACAATATGAAACTCTAAGTAGGGGGCATGAACATGATCAAAATACATTTATACACATTGAAACTCCCTCAAAACATGAAACTGGGAGGGGGTGGGGCGAGGGGAGTGATGGGAGAAAGAAGTATATCATGCCTATGCATACATTTGCCAAAATGAAAGTCTATATAACCAAGCTGCATTAGTAGGAAAGTGGGGTTAAAATAAAAAAGAAAACTCTAAAATCATTTTGTTATATTAAAACAACTGTTTCAAATGCAAATATCTCCATCTCTTCCCTGCCAGACGTACAGACTAATATAAAAAGAATGGATATTATGAAGCTCAAACCCTACTGACATCTAGAGTCCAAAAGTATTTTTTGGGCTTCTGAGAGATGTTACTTTTCTATAAATATTAATTTGGACTAGTGTAGTCAACCAGATTCTTAAAGCTCAAGTACCTGAGCAAGGAGTTCTGAGTAGTCTGGATATTCTTTTTCCCTAATGATTAGAAGCATCTACCAGCACTTATAGTACAAGCTGCTTATAGTATCACTCTGTTTCCTGAATTTGACAGCAACTAAGTGTGTTTCTGCCCACCTTCCACATATGTGTATGGGTAAAAGCCCCCAAAGATATAGAGTATTGGCCTTTTTTTCTGAGAAAGAAAGTTGGTGCTCTTGCTGTTTTATGAAAATTAATCAGGATCAGGCAGGCTTCCAAACAACTCTAAATCTCACCAAACAAAGCACTCTATGTGACTATTAGTGTTGAAATCCCTTTGGGAAAACTTGGCTGATCTACTATTATGTATCCAGTGTGTCAGGTATTTATTTGGTTTCATCATTGTCTCAAAACACAAGGGATGATGGGCTGTTAGGAAAGGAAGAGCTCCTTTGTAGGGATTTTTACTCCAGTAAAGATAAACATTCCGTCTTAGGTTAAAACAAAATAAAAACAAAAAGAAACCAAAACCAAACCGAACAAACCCCTCAAACTAGGATCTGTGCCACCTGGATTACTCAGAGGCATACATACTGTTGGGTAAGCACAACTATAAGATAAACATAACGTCATCGTGAAGCTTCAGTTTTACTCAGTGGACACTGTAAAACTAGGGGGAAATATCTTTACTTATTCTCTTAGAGAAACTGTATACCACAAAATGAAAGAGAGAAAATAATGACCTTATTTTATAGGGAGCAATCCTTGAAAGGTAAATGAAGTGATTCTCTTACATATCCTGAAAATCCATCCATAATTACTATCTGACCAAATTTACTTAGCAGAGCAATACTATTTAGCTGGATGAGGTGGTGCATGCCTATAATCCCAGCAATTGGGAGGCTGAAACAGGAGGATCACTGTGAGTTCAAGGCCAGCCTGGGCTACATAATGAGTTCAAGACCAGCCTGAACTATATAGTGAGACTCTGCCTCAAAAAAAAACAAAAAACAAAAAACAAAAAAACCCAGACCAATTTCATTAATAAACTACATTAACTCAATGTATCTCAAGTCTTGCCATTCTTACCCCCAATTTATTGGATAATTATTAGAAGGCTATGTAGAAACTTCTCTGTAATTCTTTTTTTAAAGGGACTGGAGATTCAACCCAGAGGTTTGCCCATGATAGGTAAATGCTCTACCACTGAGTTACACTTCCAGTTCTTTTTTACTTTGACACAGGGTCTCACTAAATTCTTATTTTGAGACACAGTCTGGCCTAGGATGGCCTCAAACTCTGAATCATCCTGCCTCAGCCTGCCGAGTAGCTGGCATTACAGGCATGTGCCACCATGCCTGGCATTTTCAATATCTTTCTATGTTATTCCTTAATTAAACTTATGTGAAAAAATTATGTTTGTAAATGATTTCCAAGTTCTACTGCTCTTTAAATTAAAAATAACTGCCTATATAGGAGCTTGAAATAAAAGAAAAATAAATACATATTTTTTCTTTTATCCCGATATGCTTATTTAGACATCAGGATATGAGGTTCCAAAGAATGAAATAATTCTGTAGAGTTTGGTAACAGAAATAGTTTTAATTTTCTAATACTTTTCAAAATTTAGAATAGGGAATAAATATCTGCTCGTATGTACCTGTCATATATGACTTGGTTATACTTTAAACTTAAGAATTAAAATAAACTGCTTCCTTGAACTAGACATTCCAAGGGAAAAATGACTTAGTGTATGAGTGCCAGAGGAGAAGAGAGACCAAGTTGGGTTACAATTTCTTTAGAATCAATTAAGGTCCCACTGTGTTACCCAGGCTGGTCTTAAACTCTTGGGGTTAAGTGATTTTCCTGTGTTAGCTTCCTGTGTGCTAGAACTATAGGTATGTGCCACTCTGCCAGGTCCCCAATTTTTAATGATAATTTTAATAACTGTCAATGGCTATTGTATATGCCAGACTTGATAACTACTAACTAGATATAATTTTGTGCCTAATATAGTAAGTCCCTAACTTATGAACATTAGAGCTGTGAACTTTCATGTGCGTACTGCATAAAACTCACTTTGTTGGATTACTACTAAGGAATCTGACTTAGGAATGTTCTCCCCAAATGAAACTTGTTCATAAATTGAGCACTTACTATAGTTTATGTTCTAGGCAGATTAAGTGAACTTTGCAAACATTTCTACCAAGAATGCAAAATAGATTTCTTTTTAGCTAAAATTTAATTCTGTATGTTTGGGGTCATTTAAATACACCTGTGTGGGGAGTAGATAGCAGAAGGCTGGCAGCAAAATACAGTCTCTCCATGGGCTGTGGATTTAGCTCAGTGGCACTGCACCTGACTTGCAAGTGTGAGGTCCTGAGTTCAATCCCCAGTGCAAAAAAAACCCCAAAACCAAAAAAACAAACAATCCCCCCCCAACAGTCTCTCTAGGACCTTGAATTGAGATACCTAGAACACAACAATTTTGGGAAGAAAAAAAGAAGTAAAACTCTGAGAATCAACAAAGAGCTGACAGGAAAACTAGAAAGCACAAAGAAACTGGAAAAACTGAAAGCAATGCAGAGAAAACAACAAACCAGCCTAGAATGCTAACCCTGGCTCCCAGGAAGTGGAACAGGTCTCTGCTAATACAAGGTATGGTCAGAGTGGGTTGGCAGCCCCAGGGAAAAAACAATAGACTGGGCTGGAAGTGTGAGTTCCAAGAAAAGCCCACAGTACTGTGAGCTGCAAATGTAGCATGGGGTTTTATCCTGCAAGTTACTCCTGCACGGCAGGTTAAAGTTAGAGAAGAAACTCATGGCAGCATCTGCCATTCTTGGGAGTAATATCATCAGGAGCCATTTGGGGAAGGGGTTTATTAAGATTGAGTTACTATGAATTTAGGATTTTACTAATAAAATTTTCAACAAACTTAAAATGATTGAGTAAGCAAAATAATGTAAGACAAGACACGAAACATGAATGACCAGTTTGCAAAGAATTAGAAAGTACAAAAAGAAGGCAAACAGATATATGATATGAAAAATTTAATGGAAAGCATGAGTAGTAGATTGAACAAATATGAAGACAGTGTCAAAAATTGAAGATGGGTGGGTATCATATATCACCACTCAATGATACCTTAAAAACAAGATACCATGCAAGCCAGATCCAACAATTACTGGATGACTCAAAAAACAACCTCCTGGGCTGGGTATTTAGCTCAGTGGCTCCACCTCTTGCCTCACAAGCACAAGGTCCTGAGTTCGATCCCCAATACCAAAAACAAAAAACAAACAAACAAAAGAACCTCCCTCGAAATGATGGGACTAAAGAAAAAAATTAGAAGATGATTCAAAATGTATAAAAATTCTATTCATTGAAATCATAGCAGAAAACTTTGCAAATCTAGGAAGAGAAATCAATCTTAAATATAAGAGGCATATAGGACACATCACATAGCCATGATCAGAAAGGAATCTCTCCATGACACATCATCCAGAAATTCAACAAAAAGAATACTAAAAGCAGTTAGAGAAAAGCAAGCCTATCAGAATTACAGTAGATTTCTTGGCACAATCCTTAAAGCAAACTAAAGGAGAGCTCCAAGTTAAGTTTTTCAAGCCTTAAAAGGAAATAGTTTTCAAGTTAGGTTTTAATACCATGCAAATTTAGTATTCAAAAATTGATGGAGAAGTGAAAATTTTCCACAACAAAAAAGTCCTGAAGAAATACAAGACCATTATATCACTCAGCACTGCAAAAATACTTAAGGGAATCCTAGATAGAGATGGTGGCCATCAGCACCAAAGAGTCCAAAGGAAAGTATATATCTAACTGGGAGAGTAGTTAAACAAAAGGATAAAAAGGAATCAGCCCTGGAAAAATAATGCAATGACAGGACTCAATACCTTGTAGTAATAACTCTCAATGTTAACAGTCTCAATCTACAAATCAAAAGACAGACTGGCAGATTGGATAAAAAAACCTAAATGCAAGCATGTATTGCCTACAGGTGACACATCTTATCCAAAAGAAGTATATAGGCTGAATATGAAAGGGTGAAGAACATTACTCCATTCAACTGGAGCCCCAAAACAAGCAGGAGTAGCTTTCTTATTTTCAGATCCAGCAAAATTTAAGCCAAAACTGATCAAAAGAGACAAAGATAGCCACTACACATTGGTAAAGGGAGCAATTCAACAAGAACAGATAAGAATTCTAAATATCTATATGCTGAATG